AGGGCACCCTGTATATTGAGTGAGCTTTGTCATTTCATTTTCCAGGAGTGGGAAAAAGAAAAAGTGCATTGGAGTGTTAACTAGCAGTCAGAAGATAATGGTTATAGACAAGGATATAAGTACCCAAAGCCGTTTAGAATGATATCAGAAATTCATGCCACGTAGTACATCATAATCATCTTGCAAAATTTTTAGATCTGCGGGAGACAGGACGGAGGTTTCTCTCCTATTGCACCTACCTCTTCTGACTATCTCTCTTATAGCACACAAAATTCAATATATAAATACATACAATAATACTATATATAATTACAATTCATATAATTCAACATCCCCAGTGGTATGCAATGGCACTGAGAAGCGCCTTTGAGCGAATTAAAGTATTAGGTTGGCACATAAGTTTTGCAACTTTTCCCGTAACTTTTCTCTTATTTTATGTAGCAGTCTCATTTTGTGACATCGTGTAAACTGTGATGTAAGCTGCAAGTCTGCGCAAACTGTTTGATTTTTGATAACGTAGTACAAAAAATCTAAGCATTTTTTGAAAACTGCTGAAAATCGAGGTTTCACGATTTTTTGGCAAACATGAAGCCCTACGAAACCTGATTCAAACATATGAAAAAGCAATTACAGACATCATGTAGCTGGAAGTTGGCACATTGGAAACAGTGAAAAAGAAATGAAATTTAAACACAAATTAAGGTGGGGCACCTTTGAGAAGTTGAACAAGTCAAATGCGTCAAGTTTTGAAGGCAATTTGTCAATAACTAAGCTGCGAAAAGTTAGAATTCGCTATAACTTTGCATTATAGGGTAATCCTATGCGGTAAACACGAATATCATATTCATTTGTCGCTAAAATGAAATTCATTTTTTTGATCTCACGAACGAGGTCTTTTCATGCGAAACGGATCTCATTTTTGTGATCAGCATGTCGAATAAGCCCTATAGGTCAAGTTGCAGCAAAATCTGATGCATTCTAAAATTTTCCCATAGTACCGTAAACCTACCGTAATCCTTACATAAGATGGTAAAATTCGGCAAAAATGTGTGCATTAGAAGCTTACATCATAATTCTCATATTGCCAAAAAATGAATGCGCTACGTTCAAAGAGACAAAAGTTATATAAAAAGTCGCATTACTTATGTGCCAACCTAATAAATGGATGAATAAATGAATGAGTGGGTCAAAAAAATCAACGTTTTCTCCGTGCTACTCAGAAAAAATCTCTATGCACGGATCTTCGACGTTCCTAAATGAAGATGCATATATTCGCCTTTTTTTCGGAAAAAATTGCCGCGTGCAGGTCTCAAATAGTAAGGAAAGTCAATGTTGCAGCTGCGGCCATAAAAGAGAATTCTTACAAGAATTCGTGATCGGACTGACCTAACGACTAGCTCAGAATCCCGAATTGGTACAATTATGAGACACTATATGGGAAACATGATGCCTTTGTCGTTGTACGAAAATTTTTTGCTATGATTAGGGCTATTAAAGCCACAATATGAAGATCTACTTCCATAAGTGCAAACCACTCGAAAAAAAGTAATCGGTTGTATGGCTGTAAGCAACTGCTAGAAGGTAAAGCTTTCCTCTTTACAAACATTATTCAATTTTCTCTACATTTCATTATCCTGATTTGGTTCATTTGTAAGGTAAACAACGTCGATTGTTGTTATTCGTACATTCTCGATTGCTATTATACGCAAATAAAGCACGATACGTGGAAACCAAAATTTAGGTTGGCTAAAAAGTAAGTTCGTTTCGGCACACAAATTGTCATAAAAAATTTTCTTGTTGTTTTCAATCTATGATTCTTTGTGGGAAAGTAGATCGAAGCTTCCTCTATCATATATCAAATAATCAGGATTTTCTATAGTCAGTAAAGACAGTTATACCTCAACCTAGCGAAATTTCCAAAAGCTCAATTCTTTGACTTCTTGAGCTTCGTTTTCATGCTGTAATGGATGTAAAGAACCAGTTTGGTGTTTGGATACAGAGAAGTTATCCCTATCTAGTGAACAACAAAAAGAACTGTGATCTGCCATTTTGAAAATGTTTCGCTAAGAAAACCAAATTTCCGATATTTGCGCATTATGGGAAAATTGCGATTTTTCACTTCTTTGCGGATTTTTTTCCTGGGAAGATAAGTTTTACTCAAACAGAATATATGCTCCAATGCCCAGTGAAGTGCTCTTTTCAAAGATATCAAACATTGGACAAAAATTTGTCTACAGCATTTGTGAGAGCTGAAAAAGCGACCGAACTTATTTATTAGCCAACCAATATAAGCATAATACCAAAACCACAGTCCTAGTATGTCAACTACATATTTTGAAATTAGCGTAAACAGATTGTTGATTATGGTGAGTTGAAGTGCAAAGAATTTTTACGGACTTTTTCGATTTCAAAAATAATCAAAAAGTTTGAGAAGTTCCATGAGCCGTGATTGCACATTGCGTGAAGTTCTGCAATCAATGTTGTTGCTATTCAGTCGTCACGCCATCGGCGCTAGTTCCAATTGTGGCGATGCTAAGAATGAGGTTGAATTTAATAAACAATCTGTTTGTTTTGATTTTGATTTTTGTTTATTTCATAGTTGTCTAGAAGAGAATGATAATGCAACGAAATTGAGAACTGAGTGCAATGAAATGTGCAGTATCATTCAGTGATAGGGCACATTTCGTACTAAGGTCTCAATTAAGATGGGTTAAGAAGAGGGGTAAAAAAAATTGCGGAGGCAGTGAATATTATTTGATTCAATGCAATTATACTATTCCGTTCATTCATTGAGTAGTTACTGGTATCACTTTTGCGACGTGATAGCCAATAGCAGTATAACTTTCTGAAAAGTGTCAAAAGCCACGCCTCGCAATTTTCATCAATCTCTAATATCGTACGATGAATTGCTCTTATCAATAATGTGAAAATTTCGGCCTCTCGACAATGCAAAAGTTTGGCTGCATTTGTTCATTCAAGGGTTATTCGCAAGTTTTTCGGGTAAAAAAATGTATATGTGTCAAAGCTGCTTCAGTAAACACTCATTAAGAACATTTTCGCTGAAGCAAAAGGAACAAACTGCAAAGAATGCTCTTTGCATTTGGAAAGAAAAAATTCGCGTTTACCGTTTTTTTAGCTTATACTGATTCTTAAGAACGGCACATCCAAGGCCAAAATTCTATGATCAAAGCTGCGAAGGTTCGTAGTATGCAACGGCATATATGGGAAGAGTCCAGGACTACTGTTTCGAAGTTTACCTCCTTTTTTGAGCTTTTTCAAAATATTTGTGCACAAAAAATATAGCAAATGGACTTATGGATAAGTACATGTGGCTGTTACAGCAAGGGCAAGTTAGAATTTCGTAGGATTTTTTGGAGCAAAAATTCGATTTTTGGCACCGGGAGTTGCACTTCTGGCTCCAGTCTTTGCGTAATTTACGACTTCTGCTAATGTTGAGTCATTTTGTGGGGCTTTCTTTTCTTCAAAGGATGGTACCCCACACATACTTCTTCGGATTTGTTTCTTGCTCTGCTATAAAAACGACATTCTTTTCTTTCCAGCCTAATAAATAGGCTCTTGATAAGGAGATGTAAAAATACTTTATGGCATCGAGTTATTGAAGGACGGCAAACAAGGCAATTTATGCACCTCTCTATTTCTAGAAAATTCAATCAAATTAGGTGTCTAGAATTTCTAGCATAACTGTAATAACACACTAGCAAAACAGTTGGTCTTTTTGGAAGTTGGTTTTTTGCATATTCTATGCCAAATTCGATAAAAGCTTGCTAGGCGACCAGTGCACAGTAGATTTGAAATTTAAGGGGAGAAATCTGTTTAGTCATTATGCAAAATGACAAAAGATTCATTGATGACAAAAGATGCGCATCGTTAAAAGTGATCAGTGGGTGGCCCCACGTTAGAGACTACATATGGAAAGGACGTCAAAACTTCATTTTGTCGGCGCTAGGTAGATGTTTCACGCTTTCGAAGTCACATTTCCTAATATAATAAGCTTCGTTGAATACTTGCGCTTCCTCATGCTTACGTACATAGTTTACAAAGAAAAGAAAATGCTTATGCCGAAAAACCTTCAAGAATCAGCCGAATTTCATGAAGGCTTGCTAAAATTTATGTAAATTAGAGGTGGAAGATAGAAGGACGTAGTAAGAACGAAAACTATAAATGTCCTGTTATCTAGGATCTTGATAGAGGAACTGGATTGAGTGTTAGATCTAAGGCCGTCCTGGCCATACCTCACACGTTTCAGTGGCCGCGCGATTTGGAAATCTGCCAAACGTCTTTAAATTCAACACGAGCAGACTGCAAATGTATAGTCTGTACAGCCTCCGTAGATTGATAAAATGCTCTATTCACTGCAAATTTAGAACGCACATGATGAGTTATGCACAACTGGACTTTTGCCAAACGCGTCGCGAATGAAATCGCGTGAGGTATGGCCAGGGCCTCAGGGTTCGGCCATACTGCCCCTGTAATGCCTATGATTCCGTGGTATCTGTGGTTTCTAAGATTCCTAAAATTATCACTATCAATGGAGTGCAGGAACTTCTACCCTGAAATGCAGATCCGCGTTTCATGGATAACAGCTTTTGAAGAAATGAATCGCAGGAATTACGGAAAACACAAAAAATCACAGAAATCACAAGAAGTCGGAAAATCACAGGATTTGCAGGAACGAAGTAGATCGAGCACGACCGATCAAAGAAAGGATGTTTGTTCATGGAAGACGAGCCGAGAGTTGATTGTCAAGTTCAAAGGAATTAGACAGAGCTGAAGAGTGTAGAAAGAGCGGCTTGGTCATAGAGATACTTGTACTTTCATGAGGAGCCGACATTAGAAGCTGCCGACATCTTGCGAGCAAAAGAAAGGAAATGAAACACATCTCTCAACATTTTTCTTTTTCCACATGCAAACAGATGTCATTACGTAAGCATGTCTCATGGCACTTGAATAAAACGGGAAAAGCAGAAGAGAGCACCCACCTCTTGCGGGATCGTCGAAGTGCTGGTCCGAGGCCGACGAGAACGACTCGCTCCGCGAAAGCTGCCCGTGGCAATTCTTACCTATACATACATAAATAAGCACATTCATCGATGGGGCTAGCTGAGACGAGTGATTCTCCCATCCTAGAAACGCTGAATTTGCAATGCATGCAGGATTGGATAGATAGATTTGGCCTGCTGTTTCTTTGCGGTTTGTGGCACTGCATTTGTTCTCACGAAAATATATTAGGTTGCCCAAATGTTTATTTGCACCATTTTCTTAAATTCATACCCTCCTAGTTTTGCAAAAAATCTGAACATGCAAACATTGCAGAGGTAGAAGCTGTAAAAGAAAAATATCCAAAATTGGATTCTTCTGTAATTGCCAAGATGAAACGTGCATTAAAAATCGGAGCAGTTCTTATTACGATTCATGACCTGCTCTTTCTATTTGAAATTTTATGCTGATTGACTGCTCCTGTCAGAAGTTTTGTAATAAAGAAAACGCCGAAAAAAAATGAAAAAGTAAAAAGAAGCTGTTGCTAAACGCATGATTTCCTCTCTTGAATAGTGTCAAAACCATGCAAATTATTTAAACAAGTAAGAAGCCATGAATTTTTGAAGGTGCGAGTGAACATTCGGGCCAACTTAATAATTTTATAAGAACTCTAATCCAAGATCTCGTAGGATCATGATCTTAACAGCAACCATGTGACAATCAAAATTCTTGCTTTATCCCTGATAGCACACGCATCCCCATAATCATTCTTTGACTATCACACATATTGCTCACAGCGATAAAAAATTAATGTATATCAATAGTAAAGAACTATCAAGAGATAGTAAAAACGGTAGAAAGCAGCAACAAATAGAGGCCCCGTTTATCTTTCCCAAGAATGGCTCATACAATTTTGGACTCAACAAAATGGAAATAAAATACAAAAATTGAAATCAGACAAAATCATGCAAGTAAATCCAGATCAATCGTAAGTAGTAAATAATTTCAGAGATTTATGAAAAGTAAATTTGTAGAAGGAAAGGTCGCGCTATTTTCACTCTCCCTTCTCACATTCTAACTTTAGAAGCTTGCGAAAAGTTCAAAAAAGATCCTAAATTCTTCAGCAAGCCACACCTATATAAAATAATTCTTTGGCGTGATCCCCCCCCCCCCCCACCTCCCCTCCCGACAAGCTCAGCGTTTGAGCTTGAGAAAGTTGTTCCAACATAATGACTTGCATTATGTACCACAAGCAACATAAAATATTAGGTTGGCGCGAGTTGTATCGCAAAATATCCGCAAAACCTTGACCCCTGAATTTTCGAAGCCATTTACTTGCGTTCATTTTTTAAGCAAACCAAGCTCTTCATAGCGGTGCTTAGCTACTTCCTATTGGGCCTACACGGCATACATAGAAGAGGTAGAATAACTCCTCAAATTTTGAATTTTCCGTAAAAATGTGGGGACTTCGTTTTTTGCACTTACAAATTAGCCACCTCGTGCCGAGACCTGTCTAAATTTGCAAAGTTTGTGCTACTGAGCATCTCTGTGAAAAGGTATGATTTTCGTGAAAAATGCCAAAATAAAATTTGCGCTTTTGTATTGCTTCTTCTATCTATGCAAAGTATGCCCATTAGGGTACCTTCATACCGCGCCGGCAGCGGCCGCTAGTCGCTTTTGCGCATTATTCCACTATCCGGGCCACAATATCGAAACCACGAACTTCGCTCAGACTTGGTGTTGTGGGGTTATTCGACATGCTGATTACAAATAGCATAACCTTTTAACGTTTTAACAAGGCCCCAGGTCACTAGGATAATGCGCAAAAGCAGATACAGGCGGCGGTGACGGCTGGCGCGGTATGAAGGCACCCTTAGGAAGCCACTATGACAGCGCTATGAGGAGAACGTTTTGTTAATTCACTAAAAACAAGCAGAATGGTTGGCAAACTCAGTTCGCCCCCCCCCCCGTAATATAAAGCTTTTGAAGATTCTATTCAATTTTGTGAAAAAGGCTTTTACACAATCTTCAGCTGGTAATGAGCTGAGTGAAGCTGGTGGAATATTAAGCAAGTGCAGACAGCGAGCATATGTGAATCTGAGCGGTACTTGTTACACTGACAATTAAGTAAATACTTTTCTCAATTTTGTAATCGAGTGTAAAATTGGCGCTAATGCTGTAACTAAGATTGATTACATACATTAGACTTGTTTGCATGCTCAGGGACACTAATCATGACTGCTTATTAGCAAATACAAAAGCGACATTCGTGATTCATCCTTAGGCGAATTGCTTCTCAGTATTAGTAATTTCACAATTGCTGCGCTAGAGACTATTCAAAAATGCTCTTCAACTTGTAAATGTACCATACAATGCAAAGTGCAGTGTTTATGAACTAGATGCAATAAAAATATTTAAAAACAAAAAATTAGGCAAATTTCAATTGGTATTATTGCTGATTTTTTTCAACCTTGAAAAAGTCCCGAGACTCAAAGGTTTTCTATTTCTTCTTGATTTTCCCTTGCACATCCTATCTTTCAAAAAGAGTGGATGTGACCTTTTGACGAAAACGCTTTGTATGAACAAAATGAGAGATATAAGTAATTGTGCAAGAAAAACATCACAGCTCTGAAAGTTTGACTTGCCCTAAGCGACTGAATAGCTCAGATGCTTTTACGGTTAGAGTCTCTGACAAGCTGAAGAAAAGGGTTCCGATTTGTATGTTTTTCTATATTTTTCCCATGCTGCATACATGTATATACGCACAGTTACACACATGCATTACATTATATGAAGTATACCTGGGAAAAAACTGAAAGACAGACATAAACAAATTTTGCATTCTCTTATTGGCAAACATTGTAACATTACACTCGCACCCACAAATGAACACAATTTTTTCAAAGGAATGAATGTTGCAAAATCAAGTTTTTATGAAAACGCCAACTTATGGAAGCCAAGATTTTACTCAGTTTTTGCAACAATGTTTTTGTGAGATGTTTCATGTTACAATACAAAGAATGCTAATTGTGGAATTACTGCAATCGTTTTTGTTTATTTCACACCAAAAAAATCAAGAAATGAGAAAGGTGGAAAACATGTTGCGAAAAAAAGCTCGATGATAGTTTGTCATCTTCGTTAATTTTCACCACACTTTGTGAATGATCATATTGATATAAAAATATAACTACAATATGATACAAATGCTTAGAAACCAACCTTTCCTTGGGGTTTCTAGCGTGGGCATTGCACTGATGGAACGATTTATAGGCGATGGCTGCGCGATGTGGGAAAATGCGTGGACGGATTTGGACGACACCACCCCTCGTGGTGCGGATAATTTTCCAGATTGGTTTCCCATTCCGTTCTGGAAGCGCTAGATATGAGCCTATGTCTGAAATCAAAAACTGCGTCAGAGAACGTGCTTGTAACAATATCTGGAAGACGAGAATGTAGAAGAACAAGAAGAGATGCAACGCTAAGGCAGGAAGGAGTTTTAGAAAACGGTTCGATAAATTCCATATACAATACATGGTAATGACTAGTTTACCTGATTTTTGCAACAAAAAATGCATATATAATATTTTCTTTGATCTAATTCGCAAAAGGTGGGCGGTCAAAGTCAAGGTGACGCACATAGTATGCAGGGTGTCAGAAGTAAGTACACATTTGTGATCGTTGATATCTCTCTTCCCACAAAACTTTTGCTTAGCGTCAACTATTAGAGTAGACTTCAGCTTAAATATACAGTGCGGGGAATCACTCATCGCTCTTCATGACTACAGGATTACGGTAGGAAATTGCGGCGTACAGCGCCATCATGAAATAGGCCGTTATAGAAGAAAGTTTCAAAAAACTCCAAAAAACTGTGCAGAGATGGTTTCAGACATGCTGATTCAATTAGATGGCTTTTTGCAAGTTTTTCAAGCGTTTTCAATGGTTTTTATTACATTTTGAAAAATACTAAAAAACTTCACTGCTTTTTAATTAGCATAACTTTAAAAAAGTTTTACGATACGAACACCTTTCAGATTCACAGTCAGCGACTCAGTTTAGCCTAATGATAAAATTTTCGGCTCCTTGAGAATCCTTCCTGGGGCAAAATGTAGGCATTAACTCAAAACCGTTTTCATGTTCCTACCGTAATCCTACAACAATGAAAAGAATTGAGAGATTCACTCCACTGTAGTAAATTGAAACCTACTCTACTGAGTGGTATTAGGAAATAAGCAAACGACGTTGTGAGAATAGAATTATTATCGTTTAAGAATGTACTTACTTTTGGGACACACTGTACTTTGTATTCTTAGGGTTTGAAGAGTAGCAATCCTACATTTTTTGAACATGATTTCCCCTTTAATCTACGAATATCGTTTTGGATTTTTCGCCCCATAAAGCATAGAAACTATGAAGAAAGTGGGCCATAGATGCCGCTGAGCCTTTGACGAGTGTGCAGGGCATATTGAAACCATTCTGTCTTCTTGTTCATCAATTTTGTAAATTTCACAACACTCAGTGGACTGCTTTAACCACACAGAATCGTTTTTGTACACCGCCCGCAACAGTCTACTTTTCTAGGCACTTTGTTATAATTTGTAGCCACTACAGCGCAGAAAGAAGGAGTAAAAAAAGTGGAGTAAAAAACAATAGTAAACTTTTCTGATGTTTGAATGACTAAGCCTTTACATTCAGCTATCCATCCGGAGCTAAAAAACTGCAATGTTTGAATTTCCCTAGCCCCGAAGTTTCGGATTTCTCTTCAAGAAAAAGAGCCAGCTATCAAACCAGAAGTGCTTTTCTTGAAAATGTTGCGCACTTGAACTGTGAAGACGGATTGGGTGACTCTTAAGAGTGGAAAAAAATCTTGAAGAATACTGAAGGATGCTAGCAATCTGCTAACACGTGAGGGATCTGGTACATACGGCACAGAAAAAGCAGCAAAAATATTCTCGGACTCCTTATGGGAACGAAAGTCCTTATTTTGCGACTGTATGAAAATTGCGAGAAGGCATTTCTAACACCAAATCTCAAGGTCCTGTTCATGACTTACACAATGTCAAATTTACGACTTTCACATGTCGAAAATTTACAGTTTAGTACAATTCCTACCACTAAACGCTCGTATACCAAAAGTTCTCTAGTACCTCTAAGAGTTTTGTTGAAAGAGCTTTCACAATTTCTCAACTGCTAAACGCACAAATCTCTATGATCTGGCTAAGAAAAGAAATTCATTTTGCTGTGACGGTGGCAGAATTCCATCAGAGTTCGTCAGCAATAGATGACGATGCTAAAGTGGGCAAATACTTCCATCTGATTACAGTATCATTACGTTGAAAGGGCAGATTGTTAATGTTTGCACGGCGCCATAAAAAAAATCCAGAAAAGAGATCTTGCTAGCAAAATATTTGACATCAGGTACATTTCAGACATAGCTGCAAAAGTACATACAAAATTCCTAGCATATTGCCACTCAAGAATGAAAGATAAAGGTAGCTCATGAACTTAATTGTGGGCTTTTGGATAGAAATGAAGAAATGGTGATCTTTCTAGATTTAAAAATACTTTCTTACTTGTAAGCAGCTCAAAGATTTTGAAAGGTACACGTTGTTATTACAAGTACAAATGTTATACCCATGTTTAATTAGTTGACAACTTTGAGTGCGACTTTCATTTTGTCCTAATCAAAAGCTCTCTATCAATCTAGCATTAATCAACGAAATAATAATCATCTAGCTACAAAACCACGATGTAAATCCATCAGAACTTCCTGCACTATAATGAATTAACGTCAAAGGGGAAATCTCTCTCAAGAAACCATTAGCAAACGAGTATGGCTACAAGTTCCCTCTACTATTAAATATTCACGTCCAATTCAGTGTAGGTAGCAATTGTTTGAACAATTTGAAATGAATGAGTAATAGCCTCTAGTATGTGTGTGCCTATGCATATCAGATCAGACTTTGCTAGTCTATGCCAGACTGAACTTTAGTGCTGTTTACATCGCCATAATGTTACATTTTCATTGGCACACAAAACATAATCAGAGTAGCATAACATTGGACTCTCCGTTTTAAGAGAATTTCTCATATTCTGGTCCTTCACACAAAAAAAGATAAGTAAAAAAGATAAAGTAGACAATGAACATGGACAATTGGAAACTTGTGAGTTAACTTAGTGACGCTAACGATAACTTTTTATACACGAGATATGGTCCTTAAAGTTTTTACGTTCCTTCACTATTCAGAAATGATTGAGAAACAAAGTAGGGACAAGAAATAAAAACAGCGATTTTATGAGAAATTAGAGTCCAGTGCTTTTTGATATGGTTGCACTGAAGACAAAGCTCTGGACGAGCTCTGCCGAACTGTATGGTCAGATTTTCTGTTCGGCCGTTTGAAAGAAATTTTCAGATCCCTTTACAGATTAAATGGACAAATAAAATCATTTTGTCAAAATTTGAAGTTCAAGTTTTCCAAAAAAACAGGACAATTGTCTCAAAAAGGTTTAACACTAAATCTGCTCAAAAATTTTTTTCTTTCCTGTTTCCACTAGGAAAATAGGTCATGCTTTAAAATGATAATTTGTTTGCTATGATGCTGACGTTCGCAGTCTACAAACGAAATTTTGAAAAATATGTACGGTGAAAACTTTGAAAATTATTGAGGTCACTAATGATATAGTAACAATGTAGTAAGATTGATAAAATGACCAGAACTCCACCAATGATAGTCAGCAAATTTTCTGCTTGAGGTGAGTGACAAACAAGCACGAGACGACTTGCACTTTTTCTGTGACGCGTAAAGGACGATGTCCCTAGATAACATGGTATAATATAATTTAGGGAGATCCATATCGCTGCTCGTCAGAATTCCTAACTAGAATTCTAGCCCCCACGAACTCCACTGGGACATGCATCGCTTCCACGAAGTACGCTACACTTGCCCTTTCTCCCACGTCTTATCTAGCGTCAAATCATAATCATGGAAAAGTAGCTAAGCCGGATGTACGTAGTATCATTGCGTATTATTTATCACGTGGACCTGTGATGCACTATCTTAAGTCCGCCGATCCTGGGAGAAATACTGCTGACACAGATTGAGTTCAAATGTAGAGGTGTGTGATTGCTAAGAGCTCTTCCGCATCATGAACTTTCGAGGAACTTTAGATAGCATATTGTAGGGCTGGTTTCAACTCAGATCCCATCGCTCTGTATTATCGTAGGATTACGGTGAGAACATTCGAAAGGATTTTCAACCAATGACAGTCAATACAACGATTGATAAAATCCATTACAAAAGTTTTTAAAACTTTTGGAAATTTTAGGAATGGCAGCTAATTTGCAACCGCAGTGCTACAGTGGGAAAAATTGATGGGCTATTAATTTTGTACTATGCCAAGACAAAGCTATCCCTATGATATGCCTTAAAGAACTGCGCAAGCTGATGACACATGAAAGCATAGGCAAATCTGGAAATCTGACTTTCTATATGAAGATTGATCGATGAGACCTTTATAAGCGGTCCACTAACAGCGCATATAATTCTTAAACCAAAAAATTTCAACCTCAAACTCTCACACAGACCGTTTTCCGACATCATTCTCAATACGACATGATGATTGGTCACTTGCAAAGACCACTGTACGAACGAGAGTATAAAGTTTTATTCACAGACGATCAAATTATACCAGCTGTCGCTTTGGTAATGACATAGTAAGCCCTCCCCCCCCCCCGCTCCGCCCTAGTATCCACGTGGGAATTTCGGGTGCCCTATCTACCTTGACGTGAAATGCAGTGAGGGGCGAGTGGCGTAATGATATGAGGAGCCGCTATGACCAGATCAGACCAAATTTCGATCACTCCCTGTGTCAACCAAATTTCCTTTCCTCTGGGGATGTCAGTTGGTACCGGGGTAATCTGGAGGACAAAAACGATAATTTGGTAAACGGCCGGCCCTAGCAAATACAAATAACTGCAAAAGGCTGCATGTATTCAGTAGGCTCTCCGTCTTTGAAATAGAATACGTTCATTGCTTGCTCACAAGGGATACTGAAGGAGCCGAAAAATGTCCACCACAGATCGTCTGGAAGCAGGCTGGACTGCGTTTTGTGGCGAAAAAACAAAGGGGATCGTTTTTGTGTGTCCGAAAGACACAAAATAGGTTTTTAGTCAACGTTTCCGATTTTGGATTAAAAGGGACTTCGTAGAAAGCGAAAGTCAGAAAGGACTTCGTTTCAGAAGGCCTAGAAACGGACTCGTGCTGGGTCCCGCGCCGAACCTTTGTCCTTACAACTTACACCTATGGATCAAGATTATGTAGTTGAAGTGTAAAAAATAACAAGCGAAAATTTCACGGAAAACCTCGGC